GAGAGAGAGAGAGAGAGAGAGAGAGAGAGAGAGAGAGAGAGAGAGAGAAAGAGAGAGAGAAATTCCTTGACCATCCCTGTAATCAGTCTTGTGGACATATTCTATGGCATTGCACTTTATTGATCTGAAGATAGGTTCTGTACATCATTTAACAGAAAATAAAACTTAACTTTCCTTTGTAATTCCTTTCTAAATCTGGGGAAATAAGAAGACATAGTTTTGTGGCTTGCTATTCCTATAAAATAGCAACAGCCCAAAAGAACGTTTCTTCCAATTAGTGTCTGATAGGAAAAAAATCTTCCAAATCAGTCCATCTTCACCAGTAGCAACACTTGTAACATTTTCTGGATTCACAGTAAAAAAAAATGGAATTGTGTAAAGCATTACTAACTTTGGAACCTATCTCAAATCTGCAAGCTCATCCTTTGATTAGCTATAATAGAACAAAGTGACTTGTAGAATGTCAATCTCGGCTTTCAAACAGAGGACAAGGGTTCTCTCTGGGTGACTATTTGTATATATTACACTAGGTAGGAAATGAAGCTTCGAGTCCTAAAGAAGGGCTCAGTCACTTTGGAATAATGAAGTGTGAAATGAAGAAGAGACTAAATTGTGTCTTTTACCAAGCAATTAGCACTTAAGACCCTGTGTTCCAGTATAGGATCCGTGTTTAGTTTACACAGAGATATCTAAACAGTTACTGATGCATTTCTGTTAAATGTACAAGGAGCCATCTCAAGAGCCCCAAGTAATTGCCACTTCTCTAAAACATAAACACAGATCATCGTGTTTTCCAACAAACCTCACTAGTCAGTTCACATTTCTTTCAGAGTGTCATTTTTTTTCTTCTACATCATTAGAATTCCCATTCACGGACTCTACAGGCTGAAGATGAGATGCTGGCATATGTGTGTAGGGACTGTGAGTGTGCATCTGACACAGCCTACAGGTTTTACAAACAAAATGAAGTTCACGGTAACCTTCAAGTCTGAGTGTTGCCTTCTCCCCATCAAGCGGATGAAAGACTTTTCAGCAGTCTGCTTGCTGTCTTATTCTTACTAGCTGTACTGTACCAGACAGCTGTAGCCAAAGCATATTTTAGCTGACTCTTTCTCAGTGACTGTGTTGGCAGCCAGCAAGTTAGACAAACATTTAAGGATGCCAAAACATCGTCACAGGAAGTGCTTTATTGTTGAGTGACTTAGTATGAGACACTTGCTTGCTATTGATAGAGACATATTTGAGAGGGTTAGTGATTGTAGTCAATTTTTGCCTCTTTAGAAAAGTTATTCTTGTACAATCTTTCTCACACACACACACACAGTATTTTTTGATCAAAATGTTCCTATTACCATCTCATCCTCTTACTTCTTCCAACAAATCCCCTCCTCCCAAGTCCCTGTCTGACTTTCATGCCAGAAAGTCAGGTGTGTGTGCCCCGCCTGCTGCATTTAATTAGGGTTGCCTTCATGAACATGGTAAGGGGTTGTTTGATTGAGTGGGAACAATGCACCAGCGGCTCCACCACCAAAGACTATGACTCCCATCTCCCTTTACCCTCTCTGGGTGAAGATTACAGGGCAACAGCCATGTCTGATCCAGAAAGCAGCTCTCCTTCCCACCCTCCAGCCCTTAACTTCTTTCCTCTCCTTCCTTTGGGCATTTTTAGAATGTTCTCTTATGATTTACTGTTCGCTTGCTTATTTGCTTTCAACATTATATGCTCTGTCTGCCCCCACTGAAGGAAACTGATCTCCCTCTTTTGTTTTAAACATAGAAACCAATCCAGCAAGGGTGCCGCTTTACAGACTCACCACAGATCCAACAGCAAGGACATTCAGAACCTGGGCGTGGGTCTGCCCCGGGCTGATGAAGGCCTCCCAGCAAATGAAAGCTTCCTGAATGGAAACCTTGCCGGGGCTACTCTCAGTCCAATGCATACCAAGACCTACCAAGCAAGCACCCAGCCTGGGTCTTCCAGCAAAGATCTCACAAACAACAACATACCACACCTTCTCAGCCCAAAAGAAGCCAAGTCCAAAACAGAGTTTGACTTCAATATCGACCCAAAGCCTTCAGAAGGTCCAGGCACTAAGTACCTCAAGTCCAGCAGCAGATCTCAACAGAACAGGCACTCATTCATGGAAAGCTCCCAGAGTAAAGCCGGGACGCTGCAGCCTAGTGAGAAGCAAAGTCGGCACAGCTATATCGACACCATTCCCCAGTCCTCCAGGAGTCCGTCTTACAGGACGAAGGCCAAAAGCCATGGGGCGTTGAGTGACTCCAAGTCTGTGAGCAACCTTTCAGAAGCCAGAGCCCAAATCACAGAGACTAATACCAGTAGATACTTCCCATCCAGTTGCTTGGACTTGAACTCTCCCACCAGCCCAACCCCCACCAGGCACAGTGACACGAGAACTTTGCTCAGCCCTTCCGGTAGAAATAACCGAAATGAGGGCACTCTGGACTCACGCCGAACTACTACCAGACACTCGAAAACCATGGAAGAGTTGAAGCTGCCTGAACACATGGACAGCAGCCATTCACACTCGCTGTCCGCGCCTCATGAGTCGTTTTCTTACGGGCTAGGCTACACCAGCCCCTTCTCCTCTCAGCAGCGCCCCCACAGGCATTCCATGTACGTGACCCGGGACAAAGTGAGAGCTAAAGGCCTTGATGGAAGCCTGAGCATAGGGCAAGGCATGGCGGCCAGAGCAAACAGCTTACAGCTCTTATCACCCCAGGTACCTCTTTCATCTGTCTGGTGGCTTATCTTGGGAAAGTATTACAAGGAATATTTATAAGGTTGCTATACAGTTTTTCCTACTACAGTCAGCCCTGCTTTCATTGGGACAATGAATGAAAGCAATTTTTGGATCATTTCTGTTAAAAAAAAAAAAAAAGTAACAATTTAGTTGTGTGTAGTGGCACATACAACGGCACATCCCAGCACTTGGGAACTTGGGAGACATAGGCAGGTGGATCTTTGTGAGTTTGAGGCTAGCCTGGTCTACATAGTGAGTCCCAAGCCAGCCAGAGCTATACAGTGAAACCCTGTCTCAAAAATAATAGTTATTATTTAAATGTTTAAATCAGTTGTTGAGTGCTCAAGACATCTCAAGTTTGGTTTTAGTAATCTATATTTTTAATGTTCCTTTCTGACCTATTTTGCTGACAGATCATTTTTTATTGAAATTAGAAATATGGATTAGCTTTTAGTTATTTCAACTTTGGGGGTATTTTTCTCTAATCTTTTTAAACCACATTTGTTTAAACATTTTTACTAATACCAAGTATCTTAACTGAATTTTAAATTTATCTTAAGCTAGATAAATTTAACTTCAGGCTAGGGTAAATAATTCCCCAGCCTTTTGGATTTTTAAAAGAGTTTTTAAATTATGTATGTGTGCCTGTCTATTTCTAGGTATGTGCACATAACTGCAGGTACCTATAGAGGTCACACAGCCTTGGACCTGGAGATAGAGGAAGTTGTGAACTGCTAGTCATGGGTCCTCGGATCCAAACTCAGTTGCTCTGTAAGGGCAGTTCATGCACTTAATTGCTGAGCCATCTCTCTGGCTCCTTGTTTTTTTAATTATGTATTTTTCATTATTGTGTATATGTATATGACATGGGGCAAGGAATGTATGTATGACATGCCTGGGAAAGCCATGTGCAGTTGGCTTTGTGCAGCTGCTTCTCTTCGACCATTTTTATGAGGGTTCTAGGTATGTAACTCAGGTCATTGGGTTTGCATGACAAGCATTTGACCTGCTAAATTATGAAATCACAAAGGCCTACATTAATAGAGCACGGGCTAAGAATAGGCATAGAAACAGGGAAAAAAAAATCACTGAGCAGGAACAGTCGGAAATGGCTTCAGTGCGGCTAACAATCCGCCCTGTGTAGACAGTCAAAGGGCTGAAGAGTGAAGCTGAGCTAGGCACCACAGGAAGCCCTGATTGGAAAGATGAAATTAAAGTGCCCCGTCATTTTGAAGTATATTAAATGACAGGGGACATTTGGCAACAGATGATTTGTTCTAATACTGTAAAATGTCATTACAGTAGCCATGCAGAAGTGTGCTTGTGTAGCAAAAGAAAGATGGAAACAGTTCTGTCCATCCAGCCTGAGCCCCGTTGGAGGTTCCCAGGGGAGGTAGAATTCTGAACAGATACTTGTGGCGAGGTTGAGATTTCGCTTAGGGAAGAAAGTGATAGTCACAGGAAAGAGGATTGACAGGAGGGAAAATGTTCCAAGAAGACTTGGTGCTGCATGGATCCCAACTGGCTCCACAATGTTGGAATGAAAATGTAAGAGTTGAACAATTCTCACATGAGGTGGAGAGAGCATTCAGGCTTGGGTGCCAGGACGAAAGCAGACTGGATCTCAAGGACTGTACAAAAGTGGACACAACAGGACTTGTCCACCGCAGTGTTGAAGGAAGCCTTCAGGGTTTCTTTCCTAGGAGCTCCGGTTCAGAGTTGGAACAGGGATTGATAAACTCCTTAATCCAGCATTTGTTTCCTCTCAGATGAGGCTCACAGTCGGTGGGTGAGCTGCCCAACTTTCCCTAACTCAAAGTAGAGCTGCGATTCTGAGGCCATCTCCAGGTCCCCAAGTGTAAAATGTTGGCAGCTTGGCCTGATGCCCGGTTAAGGGTGGGCAGGAGGTAAATATTTGCAGAGGCTTTAAATGGAGTTAAGGGAATGGACAAAGAGGCCTTGAGAGCTCACTGTAGAGATAAGAGTACCCGGAGTATCGAGAAAGATCTCTAGGACCTGGCCACTGCCCATAGAATGGAGTTGGAGGTCAAAGACAAGCTAATTGTGTTGGTATCAAGGCGAGTGTCAAACAGAAGAGAAAAACAAAAGGCAGTCTCCCTTGGAAAAATGAACAAATGACTGGCTCTCTGAGTGTTCAGCGAAAAGAATTCCTGTGAACATAGTGGTCATAAGCTAATTATAAACAATTGCTGCGACTTAGCGTGGCTCCAGCTGTTACTTAAGCCCGCTCAGGAGGTGCTATGCCAAGCCTTAAGAAAGGCCACAATTAAAAGCTAGAAGGTGGCTGGAAGGCTTGAAAGGTAGCAGGAATGCTGAGTAAATCGTGGCACTTGTTCTCATGTAAAGTATTATAGCCACTTTCAAAAGCATGAGGACCCTCACTGAGCTTAGTTTAAAAGTAAATAACTCATTCCCTTAAAAAAAAATCTTCCTCTGGGCCTTTGTCAACAGTACAGGTGGCAAAGTAGAAAGAAGAAAGGCTGTCCCAAATGAGTTTCTTTTCAGAATTCTCTAAATATGGTGGTGAGAAGGAAGGGGGAGAAATACCAATCTTATTTCAGTTTTAACTTAAAATATTTCTATGTACATCATCTAGGCTTGAGATACTTTTTGTGCATAATATGCTGAATGCATCTAACTCCTTCTAATTGTGTTCCTTAATCCTCCCACCCCAGGGTGGAAAATGTGATGTATTTTCTTTCCCCTTGGGCAACTGTTAAGGACCCACTGCTGTGCTGGGGTTGTGACTCACCTACTTGAGAGGGCTCTAGGTAGTGGGAGCATCTCTAGAGACAGGCACCAGCATGATCATTCCTAAGAAATGCATTGAACAGGTGAGCAATGTCCTGGAGAAGACGAAGGAGCAGGAAGCGCCGTAGACTGTGGGAATTAGGGACTCTTAGGATAAAACTCATTAAGAGAGACTTCTTTTTTGCATTCATCAAACATTTCCTTTCCTCTGCATCTACTGTGTTAGTCTCTTAGGAAAGTAGTTTTGCCTCTGTATCTTTCCTTTTGGAGAACTCTGCCTAAAATCTATAAGAGCAATTTTAGAGCGACTGATAGAATCTCTAAGCATAATGCTGCTCGGAGCTGTAACTGTCTAGATAGAAAGGTGATTTCTCTTGTTGTTTTAAATAATTAATTGAACTATTTTCAGACTAATGGATTCCTTACTTGCCTTAACTTTAATGAGAATCTCACTTTCTATCTGTTGGCCTTATTTTACATTCATCAGGTACTTTCCTTTCTTTGAGATGAGTGATGTTGCAGCCACCCCATGGTCTTTCTTTTAGCTGCTTAAGGTCCTCATTATTTTAAGTGATGACCATGATGAGTTTTCATCCCTAAGAGGAGGAAGTTTCTATAGATCTTTTTGTGTTTGCCTTGCAGCCTGGAGAACAGCTCCCTCCAGAGATGACCGTGACGAGACCTTCTGTTAAAGAGTCCTCCAGAGAAGGCGCCACTTCATTCCACACCCGTCAGAAGTCTGAGGTCTGAGCTCTAGAGATGCTACATCTTAGAGTGTTTTATAAGGGCCATTCGCTCAGCAGCACTGCAGCCTAGCTTTGAAACTTTATCTGTACCCAATTTCCCATAAATTAGTTGAACTGACTTAGAAAGTAAGTCGTTTTCTCCATGCCATAGGCCCGAGTTTTCCTTTAAAATGATCAGAAAAAAAATATTAGACACTGGTTAGACTGTACCAAGCAGCACCATCATCAAGCCACGGTTTAACTTTTATCACCTTGTTTCCGGCCTCAGGGTGGAGTGTACCATGACCCCCACTCTGATGATGGCACGGCTCCCAAAGAAAATCGGCACCTGTACAATGATCCTGTCCCAAGGAGAGTTGGTAGCTTCTATAGAGGTAAGCCACCCCCCCACACACACCATATTTACTAGAATCTTCCTCTATTTTCTGCTGAATACACCTCTTTCCTTGTCCACCACTGTGTTTTCATTGCCCCGTCGGACTTCAGACCAACAGCATTCTTGTTTTGTTTTGTTTGTTTGTCTGTTTATTTATTTCTCTGTGTCAGTCCTGGCTGTCCTGGAACTCACTCCTTGGGAACTCACTTCCAGGCTGGCCTTAAACTCACAGAGATCCACCCACCTCTGCCTCCCAAGTGCTGTGGTTTAAAGGTATGAGGCACAACCACCCAGCCAGACCAACAGCAGTCTTGCCTGTGTCGCCACCATCTACCCAGTTCTCTTTGTTACTGGTCTCACCATCTTCATCTAGTCCCCTGTCTCGTCTGTCTGAGCCCCTGACTACTGTCTGTCTCCATGCAGCCATCCAGACAGTTCTCAGAATGATCCTTCTGAAAGTAGATATTGACCATACCAACTCATTCATGTGACATTTACCCATGTCACTTTGTGCCCAGCACAATTTGGCCGCCCATCTGCATAGTGTGGCTACATGTAGATGATAGTGTTGAACACAGCTCAGCACTAAAACTATAAACTTACACAAAACATGAGGATTTTTAAAATTACATGTATTTATTTTGGGACTGGTGGCACTTATGCCATAGTATAACTGTAGAAGTCAGAGGTCAGAGGACAATTTGTAGAACTCAGTTTTTTTTTCCACCATGTAGGTCCTGGGATCAATCTCAGGCTACTACTTTGTAGACCTGGATTAGCCTAGAACTATATATGTAGACCAGACTGGCTTCACACTCAAAGAGGTGCGCTTGTCTCTGCCTCCTGAATGTTACATGTAAGGGTGTATGCCAACATATACCCAGTTTGAGATCTTTAAAGATAATTTGATTGTACATTTCTAGAGTATAAATTTTATAGACGACAATGTGATGTTCTAATACCAGAAATTTTAACATGCCTAGAACATGTTAGTAGATAAAACAGAGAAAAATATCTGCCTTCATTCTCACTGTTATAAAAGAAATCACCAGTAAGTGTAATAATTCTATAGAGCAGTCAGATAATGGCAGTACGGGAGAAAGAAATAGATCAGACATCCATTGCCCTCACTACCCCAAAACTGTGTCCCAATACCTTAGCTTCTATTGATAGCAAGGTAAACTCTGAATTCCTTGAGATGACATTCCGGGTGGTTTATGGTCACATCCTTGTTGTCCCCTCTGGCTGCCACCCATGTGCCTCCACACACAAGTTCCCATTCGTACCTGAATTTCTCATGCCCTGAAACACACTACTGTCTTACTGGAACCAGTTGTTCTTTCTAGTTTTCTTCTGATCCCTTCCACTGTGGCAGTCTTCCCTGTCCCTACTCCAGAAGTATTTCTTCTCTGTTAGTCATGGTTCCTTGTCTATATCTGCAATCCAATGCAAACCACATTGTACTTGTTTTCTGTGTTTGTCTGCAAGGTTCTGAACCTCTCAAATATTCTGGGTTCTCAGGATGGAGATCAGTGATGGAATGCTTGCCTAGTGTGTGTGTGAAGCCCTGGGTTTGGTCCCCAGATGGAGGGGAGGAGGAAAGGAAAGCTGGAGGCATGGATTGCCTCACACAGCTTCATAAATATTTATCAATTGATTTAAAGAACAAAATTCAAGAATATTTACATAGCTTTAAAACTATACTTTGTTGTTGAACAGATGGCTGAGACAGATGTTTTCGAGGTGCTGGGAATTTAGGAGACAGTTAATAGAAAAAGGCAACCCCTTTGGGGTGTAACTGTGTGATGATAATGTACCAAATATTTGAGAATCCCGGTGCCTTGGTGGAGGGAGGAATGGACAGGAGGCTCAGCCGTTCAAAGCCTGCAAGACTCACCACAGCCTTGACTTTTAAGTCCACATTCCCTGACTTCCTGCTCCTTCTGTTGTTTTATATAAACAGCTGGAGAAGTTCAGAAATTAGAGTCAGGGGACACAGACAGTTGTTTGGTTGTTAAAATTAGGAATCTGAGCTGAATGAATACACAGAAGTGTTACTCAGGAAGATATGTATATTGAATGATTAGGCTACTATGGTCCCTCCCATCTCTACCTTTGGAAAAGCACAAGGCATCAAATATGCTTCTTAATGACTGCCCGATTCCATGACGATTTTATAATCTTATAAGGCTAAACTTTTAATTCAGATTAAAGTTAATTAAATATTTTTGTCTTGTACATGAGTAAGAATATCTTCAGTGTAAATTTTTCCTTATAAAGTGTCCCATACTTTGTTGTTTCTACAGATGATTAGAGAAAATAGCCTTCTTTGTGGGGGAGGGTCTAACAATGTAGACCAGGTTGGCCTCCAGCTGACTTCTCTCTCTGTTTCAAGTGCTGGAATTATAGGTGTGTGCTATCATGCCCAGTAGAGGAAATACTTTAAAATAAAATGGAAATAGAGTTTTAAATCAATGAATTAGTCTTTGACTTCTGAAAAATACTATTTTGATTACAAAGGGATTGAATTGGTTAACATGGGGAAACCACCTCCTCCTTTATTTCTCTTGTAATCTACTTGGAGATTTAGCAAATAGAACATTTTAATTTGTAGAAGTTCAGAAATAGAAGGGAAAGTTTCAACTAAATGAAACACCTGGAAACATCTGTTATTTCAATGATACTGGGAAGTCCTAGAGAAAAATAGTAGTTTAAAAAATGACAGATATTTCCAGATCTATCTAGACAGATGTTTCTAGAATAGATTCATTCTTTCTTATCCAGAGGCAGATGAAATGGTGTCACTTTTTGTTGTTTTAATTTTAATTTTTGATATTATAATTACATTTCTCCCTTCTCTTTCCTCCTTCCAATCCCTCCCATATGCTCCACCTTGTTCTCATTCAAATTTATGATCTTTTTTCCACTAATTTTATTGTATGCATATATGTATGTATATATACACATATATTCATAAATAAAACCTGCTCAGTCTGTATAATGTTACTTGTATGTATGTTTTCATACAACTGACCTTTTGGCACCTCTCTTGTTCCTAGCTTTTCTCAGTTGCCTATAGTTCTTTGTGTAAGGTTGAGGCCTCCTGGGCTTTTTCTTGTCCACTTTGTTATGTCCTTTGATGTTGTCATTGCTCAACCTATGTTTGGGCACACTGGTGAGACTTTAGGGGTATAGCTTCATATGTTCCTACGAACCACAATATCACAGCAAATTTCCTAATTCTCTGCCTTTTAAAATCTCACTCTCTCTTCCACAATATTTCCAAAGCATCGGGTTCAGGAGTATATTATAGATATAGCCATTAAGACCACACTTCACAACTCTGTATTTTGATTTTTGGTTGTGGTTTTCTTAGTGGTCTCCAGCTATTGCAAAAAGAAGTTTCTTTGATGAGGGGTAAAAACTGCACTGATCTGTGGGTATAAAAACAAATGTTTATAGATTGTTGTTAGGGGTTGTAATGATTTAGTAAATAACCTCCAATAACCATGACTTCACCAGCACTGAGTAGTTAGCTAGAAATTTTAGTGCCAGGTATGGTTTCCCTCTTGTTGAACCATTCTTCAGTGTAATTAGAGAGCTGGTGGTTACTGGCAATGTATCCATACCACTATGCATCCTTGGGGTTACTGTGCCATGCTGGTTGTTGATGTAGTTCATAGGCATTATAGCTGGGTAACTGTTGCAGGATTTTATTACTGTGAAAAGATACCATGACCACAGCAACTCTCATAAAGGAAAACATTTAATTGGAACTTGTTTACAGTTCAGAGGTTTAGTCCGTTGTCATCATGGTAGGAAACATGGTAGCATTCAGGCAGACATGGTGCTGGAGAAGTAGCCGAGAGTTCTACATTCAGATCTGTAGGCAGCAGGAAGAGAGAAAAATGGGCCTGGTTTGAGCATCTAAAACCTTCAAAGTCCATTACCCAGTGACATACTTCCTCCAACAAAGCCATACCTAACTCCAAGGCCTCACCTTCTAATAGTGCCACTTCCTGGAGACCAAGCATTCAAATCTACAAGCCATTCTTATTCAAACCACTACAATAGGGCCATTAGTGTTTCCCGCCTTTGGAAACTTGGATGACACCTTCTGGTACCATGAAAGCTAGTCATCAGGGAGGGGGCATTTAGGTCAGCTCCAGCTCACAGATCTCTGTGCTCGCTCTGGTCAGCAACCAGGAAATTAAAATAGAATCATTGTCAAGATAGGGGATTAGAGAGCAGTAGAGAAGGGAATAGCAGGGTACAAGTGATCTTGATCAGGGAAATGTAAAAGGGGGCCTCTTTAAGGAGGGAGACTTGAAATAAATACAGAAGAAGGTGAGTAAAATAATAGTTATAATGTCTGAAAAAGCAAGAAGGAATCATACTATTTACCTAAAAAACTATAATACATGTATGTAATTCGCCATATAAATACACATATATATTGTTGTTGTTTTGAGACAACATCCCATATTGTAACCCAGTCAGGATGACCTAGAACTCAGTGTAACCTAGTCTGGCCTTGAACTCATGTCAGTCCTCCTGCCTCAGCCTCGAGTACTGTAATTACATACAGCACTCCTTACTTGGTGTCACTGGTCTTGATATACACTGTGCATATATTAATTTTGTGGTGAAATTTACAGAACAGCCAACTTTAGAAATTGACAAAAACATGGTTACTGCTCTCCCCAAAGCAAAACTACTCAATGTATTATAGTTTATATTTCTGTTCATTTTTACATGAGAATGTATAGAAAATTAGTAGTTTTATGCAAATGGCCAATTTTCCTTATAATTAAAGATCTAAGCAGCACACTATTGCATTGTCATGGCTTAAACTGTAATTTGTGTGTCTCAGTACAAATATTGTTAAGGATGATATTGGGTTAAGAATAGATTTTGCAGGCTGGGTGGTGGTGGCACATGCATTTCTTTAATCCCAGCACTAGGGAGGCAGAGACAGGTGGATCTCAGTGAGTTTGAGGCCAGTCTGGTCTACAAAGAGGGTTCCAAGGCTAGACAAACAAACTCTATCTCAAAAAATAGAAAAAGAATAGATTTTGCATAGTTGGAACTGTTATAAGAAAGATTCAACTTCAAAGAATGTCAAAAACCATGGAGTGGGGGTGGGGTGGCTACAATAATCATACTTTAAAGGATGTCCCATTTTCTAAAAAATGTCCTCAAATTCTCTGCAGTGCATCAGCTGACAGCCCAGGTTTCTGTTTGGAAATCTTTGTAACTGAACCCTGCAGGTTACCATGTAAGGAGTTGAGGAGGGAAACGTGTCTGGACCACTGCCACCCTCAGGAAATAAGTTCTGGAAAGGCAGTTGAGGACTTTGATTTTGTTTGTGTGAAAGAAAATGCAGTGGAATAGCATTAGAAGCACTGCGAGCAGAAAAGCACTTCAGTAACTCTTTCTTCTTCCTTCAGTGCCATCTCCACGACCAGACAATTCTTTCCATGAAAATAATGTGTCCACCCGAGTTTCTTCTTTGCCATCTGACAGCAGTTCTGGTACCAATCATTCAAAAAGACAACCAGGATTTGATCCATGGTGAGTGTTTTGGTTTGTTCTTACTCTTCTTTTTACTAATTGTAGATTTGGGAATTCAAAGACATGCAGGATAAACTTTTTAATGTTCTTCTTCCCACGAGGCCTTTCTTTCTTAAGAATAAGGAAAACACGATCTGTTGGGAGGGTTGTATTTTTTTTTCAAGTTCACAATTTCTATTAAATAGCATGTAAAAGGAAAGCTCTAGTTGTCAGATAGGTCTGTGATCATACTCATTCTTTTACTGACAGTGAACTTGGTACTGTCACTTTGCCTAGTTAGCTCTCAGTTGTCATAGTTGCCCTTTCTGAGGTAGGGGCTGTTCCCACTGCATACACACTGAAGCTTGAATGTTACAGAACTTACCTGGTGCTAAACAGCTGTAACCTGGATCAGGGACATCGGACACTATCACTTCCTGCATAGAATTATGATGATAATTAAGTGATATAAAAATTTAAGTGTATAAAAAAGGCACCTAAAACAGTGCCTGACACTGTAAGGGATCGTTATGTTAGTAGCTATGGTTATTAGACTTAATGTCATTTAATCTTTCCATGGTTTGTTGGCTGTTTGACTTCTAACTTTGCTCATAAACGTCCATGCCTCTTTGTGAGTGGGTTTTACTCCCTAGTGTGTAGAAAACATAAACAAACAGGTATAGCTTTTGTTAGTTTTCAGTGTTGACCATTTTCAGGTGTGACTTGGACAAGCCATGAGAATGGTATCTAAAGTGTCAGAATGCAGATGAACAGAGGGAGCTGGTTTTCCATGGTTGTTGCATAATGAAGTGAAGTGGTAACAATCTAAAATGGTATCAGTTAGAGACTAGATAGTCCTTTAAAAATTAGTCTAGTCAGATAAAAATTAAATGAAAGTATGGACTGACCGCATGGTGGTGTTGGCCTTCTCAGCCTGGGAAGATTGACAGTTTAAAGCTAGCCTGAGCTATGTAGTGAGATTCTATCTCAATGCCCTCCCTCTCCAAAAAAAAAAGTAATCCAAAAGTAGGATAGGCCTTGTTAGCAATGCGGTGTTTTTTGGTTCTGTGTGTGTGTTTTAGGGGTTTAATTTGGTTTGGTTGTGGGGACTCAAATGCAGGGCCTAGTGTATGATAACCATGTCTAAATAGAACTTTAGCTGTGATTGTGTGTGTGCATATATGTTGCACGAGGAGGGGTCCCTTTGTTTGTCCTGGCTGCCCAACTAGCTTTCACCTGAAATAAATACTTAGAAACTGTATTCACTGAAACACTGCCTGACCCATTAGCTCTAACTTCTTATTGGCTAACTCTTACATATTAGTTTAACCCATCTCCATTAATGGGTATCACCACGTGACTGTGGCTTACCAGCAAGATTCTAACCAGCGTCCATCTCAGGCAGGAGAACCATTACGTCTGCCACTCTGCCCTTCTCAATATTCAGTTCTGTCTACTCCGCTTACCTAAGTCCTGTCCTATCAACTAGGCCAAGGCAGTCTTTTTATTCAACCAATGAAAGCAACACATAAACAGAAGGACTTCCTACACCACACACACATATATGTGTGTGTATACATATATGTATAGATATATATGTATGTATGTATATATATACATGAAATTGTTTTTGAAAATAATCAGAAGTACATTTTGGATGCTCATCTTTAGCTAAGATGTCATCAAGTCATCCTTACTCTAATATTACTATTCTATAGTTCAAGAAAGTTCCAGAACTCCCAGCTATGAAGTGGCTCTCTACTCCTCCTGATAATGTTTCTATGGCTCGTTTCCTTCACACATCACATCTACCATGATCAAATCTTTAATTAACCTTGACTCATCTTAATTGTTTTCTTAACCAACATCTCTTTGGTTTGCCATATTCTTTATATCTTAGAGAACTATGCAGTTGATAACACAAATATGAAAGTCTTATTAGAGAAACATGGTAAAATTCTGTTCTTAAATTATCACATATCCTCAGGCCAGTCTGTTTCCATGATAGTACCACTTTAAATTTCTTCTGGGAAGAGAATATTTGTACAGTGTACATATGGTCTGCAATAGAAAGATCAAGGTACTATGTCATACTTAAAAGCAATAAATAGATATTGTAGCTTAACACCCAGAGCTGTTATTCTGGTCATCTCGGTTGTCTTGAACCCACTTAAGAAATGGGAGATAAGCCAAAATATCTCAGAACAAGAAAAATAGACTTAACACAGCCAGATACATCATCTTTACTAATAGGATGCCACTTCAGTCCTCACTTGGAAGCTATTTATTCCTCTCTCTGCCCAGTTTTAACCGTTAGTGCCGAGGTCGTTAGGATGAGATGTGGTTCTAGCTAATAACACAGTGTGCAGAAGGGAGAGGGATCACAAGCAATAGCTACGGGGCAAAAGTGGGTGTGTTCTATCATTTCACAGACCTGCAGAATCCTGTACATCTTAGGTATCCATTTAGAGTACATGTGTATAAATTGAATATCATTTACTTTGCTATAAATAAATAATAAAATAAAAGACAAAGTATATGAACAGGTTAGAAAAGCTGCCATCACAATTGGGCTAAAAATTGATACTTTAACTAAGTTCATTCAAAATCCAACTAGTGAAGAACTGTGAAACTCACTTGAATAATGGCAGGCTTTGTTTTTACAGGGTTATGGCTATCTCGTGTCCTTTATAGCTTGTCAGTCTGTCTTACAATTTTTTCTCATAGACTCTTTCACTGACTTTAGTGTGTCACACAAGAGCAATGCCTCCCCACTTCCACTCACTCTCCATGCTGCTCCAGAGGGATTATACTAAAGTCCGAAGACCCTACCGTCTCATCCCCTCCACTCTGCAGTTTGAGTGGGAGGTCAGCCCCTTGATTGATTTCTGTCTCTATTACCTAGTACAGTGCTCAGTAAATGGTGATAACGTTAAGTCAGTTTTGGTTTCAGTTCCTTCATTCCTTGATTACAATGATTCTTTGAACAGCTCTCATTCAACTTGCCTCCCTTAATGGGAATAGTTCTTGGGCTCTATGACATAGGAGTCACAGTTTTGTGTAAGCCCCTGCCTGGTCATCCTTTGGTGTGTGTCCTTCCTCAACCCCATAGCCATACTATTTTGATCAGAGCTGCTACCCAAGGGATGAGCTCAGTCACTGAATCTATAATTCTTCTCAAAGCTTCCTTCTCTGAAATTCATGTGACCCCCCCCCCAAAGCTGCCCACTGTACTGGGTGAAATTATAGAGGCAACAAATCCAGATAGGGAAATAGTTACCATACTCTTGACTAGTTGACTCAGTGCTGCTTGTCCAAGGCTCCTTCCTTTGTGCACCACACAGCTTCCCAAGTGCCTGTTTTCCATAGCTGCTCTCTCATCCTTGCTCTTCCTCTCTCAGGCTTTTCTCTTTGCGTTTTCTGTGTATGTTTCTGTGTAGTTCTGCATTGTTCTTTCTTTGTGTCTCCCCTTTAGACTCAGTTTCTTCTGTCTGTTGTGATGCAAACATACTCAGGCTCCAATCCTAGTCTTTTTTGTTTTTTTTTGGGGGGGGGGGGGTTTGGGACAGGTTTCTCTGTAGCTGTGGAGCCTGTCCTGGAACTAGTTCTTGTAGACCATGCTGCATGCTGCTGGCCTCGAACTCACAGAGATTTGCCTCTACCTCCCGAGTGCTGGGATTAAAGGCGTGTGCCACCACTGCCTGGCTCAATCCTAGCTTTTGTCTTGGGTAATTTATTTCTCTTTTTCTTTTGACCCCCTAGGAGCTTTCCCTGCCTAGATTTTAGCCCCACCACCTGCTCTGCTTCTGCTTGAAAATGATTAGCTCATCATTCCTCCCGCCCCACCCAGACCGTAGTTTATCCAGTGCCTTTAAGACCCTGGGGAAGGTCTTTGATCCATCTTCTGTTTCCCAGAACCAACTCTCAGTGCCAAAGTGCAAATTCTGAACTGTTTTCCTGCCCCCTTCCTCTTCTTACCCTCACCTTCTCCAGCCTCTCACTTGCATATTATTCTCTGCTTCCTCCTGGCTAGACTTTTGTCTCCCCAGGCAGAATTCTGCTTCCTCCTAAGAGTGGCATCTCCAGCCTTCTTTCCTGTTAGCACTAAAATTCTGCTCTAATGCCAGTTTGCCCTCCTGAGATTGCATTCATGAAGAGAGTATTTTCCCCAGCCATCCAGCAACTGCATCTATAGAACCTGTAACTTTCCACTATCCCATCCACATCCATGCAATCACATCTAAACCTTGTGCCTTTCAAAATGATAAATGCCCTGTTCTGCATTCCTAAAGTAGTTAGAGTCTTACTGGATTAAATCACAGAACTTGTGCTTCAGAACTTGGAACTTACTAAGTGATGCTTACAGTTACAAGTTCTAATGGATTTCAAGAACACCTGGGGTGCTGCTGGGTGCCTGGACTCCTGGTGTGTGCTATCATGTCTGGTTTTTGTGGTTCTGGGGTCAAACCCAGGGCTTTGTGCATGCTAGGTGCACATTCCACCAACTGGGCAGTGTCAGCACCAATTGAGCTATATTCCCAACCCTAAAATAGTCTGTGCTGTATAACACTTTGTTGATGACCTATAGTATGTATTTGTTCTCAGAAATTAAAAAGACTATCAATGATTTTATTCCATAGATAGAGCTTTGGAGGGACTTTTTTGAGAAGGGGGAATCTCGCTTTGTTACCCTCTGTTCTCAAGCGCATGTGCTAAAGTAATCCTCCCACCTTCGTCATAATTAGGAATACAAGTGTATATCATTAGGCCAAGCCTATTTTTGTCCCCCAGTGCTTGCAGTGGAACCCAGGGCCATGTGAATGTAGTGCACGTGCTCTTCCATGCACAGCTCCAGCCAAGATTGCTATTGTAATTTCTCCCTGCATTTTAAAATGTCCATTTAGGGATTGGAGGGATGGCTCAGGAGTTAAGAGCTCTCATTGTTCCTGTAAAGGACCCAGGTTTAGTTCAAATGGTGTCTCACAACCATCCTTAACCCCAGTTCCAAGGAACCTTATACCCTCTTCTCGCCTCCATGGACTCCAGGCACAGAAATAACATGCATACATACACACCGAATAGACACTCAAGCCCATAAAATAAATAAGTCTTTAAAAATTAAATAATATTGAAAGTGCATGTGTATAACCTATATTGTAATGTAGTTGGACTTATCTGATGTAGAAAACTTGAAATCATTATATTTTTGCTTAATGTTGTAGTTTAAATATTCTTTCATGTCAGTGAATATTCTTTGAAGATGTGATTTATTTTTAATAGCTTCATTGTGTTTTCCACCATGCAACCAGTAATGGTTAATTTATAAGTTTTCTGGCTTACATATTTTAATAAAATAAGCTGGATGCTGCCTTGCTCATATTTTCTTAGATATTATAATCACTTCATCACTGTTAGGTGTTCTGAAACCATGAATATAAATTAACTGTCACTTTTAACAATTCTGCCACTCTTTTAGGGAAATATGTAAATATGTGAGCTTTTTAAAAAAGAATAATACCAGTTGAGTTGCTTTTTAAAGAGCATAAGCCAAAAACCAGGATGTTCTCTGCCATACACCCACCCCCAAGCCACTGCCCCTCTTTTTTCCTCCTTTTTCTTTTCTCTCCCCTTTTAGGATTTTTTTTTTGTAAAGTGGGTTTTTGTTTCAGGGTCAGTCTTGGCAGATAGCCTGACTGGCCTGCAGCTCACTCTCTCTGTGTCAGCCTCCTGAGTGCTGGGGTTACAGGCAATATGCCACTACACCTGCCTTCTTTCCTATTTTGAGTATCTCCTATTTTTATTAGAATACCTAGGTGTTATTTGTGGTATCAATCTTAACATCAGCATTTTCAAGTAGAAGGGCTCCCTTCCCCTCTGATATACTGTGTTAGAGCATTCATTGTGCCTACATTTTTTTCCTTAAGTACTTTTTTTTATTTAGGTGTAATAGATTAAAGGTTTAATAAATAAATAGGAATTTTCCAGTTCAGGGCAAATTTTACTTCTGTTTATAATGTTTCTATAGCAGCATTGATTTTTTTATGTTTAGTAACTTGGCAAGCTAGTAATAATAAACTTGTTGAGCTTGTTTTTGAAAGGTAAATAGAAAATTGAAGGTATTGAAAATGTTTCTGTTCTTTCCCTTGGAGGGTTACAGAGAAGGCATCCTCTAAGCCATGCATTTTACAGACTCTCTAATTCAGAGACTTCCAGCAGCAGGAAAATGGTCCCACGGTGCAGTTCCAGATCATTTGTAATAGCGCTCAAATTGCTAGTGTGATCAAGCCTGTGCCAAAGAACAGCCATTCCCCATGCTGATTAGATTCGGTTCCTCCTGTGCATTTTAAAGGACCTTTACCTGTGGGCTCCATTTTTCATGGCTGATTGAATCTGGTATCACACATTTTCAGCCGTTATTATGTTTGTCACACATTGGCAAGAGAATGTGATTTAGAGATCTATATGATAAAAATGTCTTCTCATTTAGGAAAAGCCCCGAAAATATTAGTCATTCTGACCAACTCAAAGAAAAGGAGAAGCAAGGTTTTTTCAGGTCAATGAAAAAGAAAAAGAAGAAATCTCAAACAGTAAGTACATGACTATTTTCCATATATGACATCGATTTCTGTATTTTTCTGTGGAGACATTGTACCCTCTCCATGGAGCAATCAGACTTCATTTCTGAATTGACTATGTTATAGATACCTCTTTCGGAAGTCCTACACTACTGTCCTCTCCTAAAGCCTTTTCTAGATTCAGCAGAATCTCCAGGAGTAGAAAAAACTTAATTGGGATGAGAAAATGCTCCCCAAATTATGGAGACATGGGATTTGTTTTTCTCTGGGAGCATAAAGATTTGTAAAAACATAGGAAATGATTTTGGTTTACATTTAAATTGTGAAATTCACAAATAGCCATCATCCCTTATCCTTCCCTAGCTTCTGGGCTATCTGGTCATAGAGATGCAATTTCAGGACTTGCTTTAGTAAGAAAAGGTGTTTCGCTTCTGAGGGCCCTGGGAGACAGGCTGCACCTGAGATCCTGAGGAGCGTCTGAACAACGGGCCAGCTGTACTGACCTGTACTCATCAGTGTTTGGGAGCACATGGGTGAAATTTCTAAGCTGGCTAGTGACAAGAGAAAGTGGAGGAGGAAGAACAAGCCTCCAGAAGAACAGTTGGAGCGGTTCACTCAAAAGAAGCCTGCCTCTCTTCATTTTATGGTACCCTCACAACTGAGTGACATTGAGTTAGCCATGTTCAATGATTTGGATTTGGGTCTTAGCTTTACTTCACACAAGATTTACTCTCATTCTGTTAAAGAAGAAAATTGCCTAATCAGAATGGCCTGTTCACATAGGCTTCATTGACTTTTGCCTATGAGTAAACTAAATGCTTCTGAGTCCCATCATGAAAATTAGAAGTGATAGCTTAGTGATAACTACAGATGTCTTCTTTACTTAATAGTAGGAAAGTATGTAACTCATAGTAAGGATATTGTCTCAGAGATGTTTGAAAGATGTTAAAAGTGGCTTTTTTGTTTGAGACCTTTCTGAGCTGCCAAATGGGTTCTAGGACTCAAACCTAGGTCCTCTGGAAGAGCAGCCAAGTCCTCTTAAAAGCCGGGCCATCTGTCCATCCTAAATATTTTTAGGGGCCCTTAAAATCTAGACCTTTGTAAAGCTTTCTTTCACTTGCTTATTAAATGTCAGTATTTTATTCAAAATAAATGACTTCAAGCCAGGAGCAGGCTTGGGGCATGGTATTGCAAGCCTTTAATCCTATCACTCAGGAGGCATAAGCAGGCAGATCTCTTGAGAGATTGTGACCAGCCTGGTCTACATAGTGAGGGTCAGGGTAGCCAGAGCTGCATAGTAAAACTGTGTCTCAAACCGCCACCATCAACAGCAACAAAAGATTCCATTATGAAAAAAATGTGAAAAAAGAAAAATCATTCTTAATCTTGCCCAAATCTACCATAAATAATATGAGGATTTTAGTATTTTCCTATAGTTTTTTAGCCTGTGCATACAATTTTAGAGGAAAGGGGTGTGTGTGTGTGTGTGTGTGTGTGTGTGTATTCATTCATATGTTTATGATTTGTCTTAAATAATAGTACCCATCCTAGTGCAATTTTGTATTCTGGCTTTTAACTCGTGTGTGTGTGTGTGTGTGTGTGTATGTGTGTGTGTGTGTGTTACCTCTTTGTTTTAATGGTTACATGGTATTTCTAAAATGTTCATGGGGGTGGAAAAGGGTACCTATATCTCTTACTGAAACTTGCCTAGATTGAAATGTCAAATTAAAATGTCACTCAACTACATTTGTTGCTGAAACTGGATTAAGAAATGAATAAATAGACTTGACTTTGCTTCAGGATGCTTAAAATGTTTTAAGTGCCAAAACTTTAAACTCTGTCCATTGTCTATAGAACGTATTATCTATCCTAAGTATCACCCTAAGACACTTCTTCCTGGCCACTGTTATAAATTTTGTGGGTTTTTTCAACTATATGCCTACAGTCCTGTGATGTGATTAAGTTGTAGAAAATAATGAGAGAAGAATTGAGGCCGTCTTGTATATAAATTTAGATTTTAATGCTTGTCTGCCTTAGACCAATATTAAACCTAAATCCCTTGCCTGACTGTGGCTAAGCATAGTACATACATCTTGCCTAACTTGATTATTCAATATTTGGTTCAAATTTTAAATGTTTAAATAGATAAGTTAGAATAATAGAAAAATTAGTATTCTCTTGCATCCTCTCCACTTAAACTTTTTATTAAATATTTGTACTAACTGCGGAATAGCTTTCCACAGATCATAATGCCTTAAATTTTCCAAACCAAAAGATTTTTCTATTTCTCCATTTTAATTAAGGGCTTTGGATTCTAGAGTCAGATTTTCAAAGAGCAGTACACACAGAGTGCCAGACCTCAGGAACCGAGGCCTGGCATTAAATTCTCTCTGCTTCCTTTGAATGAACATCCAAATGTAACTAAAGGGAACTTGTTTTTACTTTCTAAAGTTTAGTAAAAAGAAAAGTAAGTAGAGCAAACCAAAATATTTGAAGGCATTGAAACTTTTACATAAGATTCTAAGAAACTGAAATCTGATGCCTGACGAACATGGTATCCTATGTTCATTCTAAATTTAGATGTAACCTAAATCTAGTTTACTAGTATAGGCGCTGAGCCAGGCAAGTGGTGACCTGTCCAAAGTCACACAGTGAGTTGTAAGGACCAAAACTGGGTTCCCCTGTGAAAGGCTTCTGAGAGCTCCTTGCTGGCCTTCTTGACAGTCCAAGTTAACTCCTAGACAGGCTTTCTGTTATTAAAGCCGGAAAACTCAGATATTTACACAAATGCCTTCATACACACACCAATGAAAAGACAATCCTACTGCATCTCTATATATTTTTGTTCTCTGACCATTAAGGCAGCAAAAAGAGAGAAAAGAGGAGCCAAAAATAATTCTGTGTTGTAAAGGTGCCTCCTTTGACTCAAGCAAGTCTGGAAACTGCCTTGGGGAATCTGGCTTCGGTTGTATATCCAGGGAGTTACATAAACCGTCAGAGCATATGGTGAATTGGCCAACTTGGTAATTTGTATCTTCTTTAGTATCTCAACTTGAAATGATACTTCAATTTAAAGATTGAACTTTTAAAGGAATCTTGTGTGCGCGCATGATATGGGGGAGAAAGGTGCAAAGGACCCACAGTCAGAAGGCCCACAGGTCAGAAGACAATTTTATAGAGTTGGTTCTCTCCTTTGACCTTTTTGTGGGCTCTGGGAGTCAAACTCAGGTTGCGAAGTGCCCCACTAATCCTCCTTACCAGCCCTGAAGAGTAAACTGTTGTTACTTTTTTTGAAAACCAGAATTCAGAATTGTGCCAGATGTTTTAAATGAGGTATATATTTCTAACAGTGTAGAAATAGGGCTACTTAATTAACCTTAGTATCCCACACAGTGGTAATCCTCTTCCAAATGATATTTACTAGCTCAAGATAATTGACTAAGAAATTTAAAGTGACTTAAAATATATATTCTTTTGTAATAAGCAAGCCATATGGTAGAATCTTTTAGTTACTGAAGTCCTAACAATTAGGAAATGACTGAAGTTCATCAGTAGTTCATTACACACAATTCTTCATAATAATTTTTGATAATAAATACATTTTTAAGTAAACAGAATGTAAGCAGATGCCTAAAGGTCTCTAGGCATTCCTGGGCTATTGTTCATAATCATAGTATAGACTCTGAAATATTTTGTACTTGCCTAAACTTACGTTATTGTTTCCAGTTGAAAAGTAACAGATGATCTCTCTAGATGCCTAGCCTAGCTCAGACAGTCTTTCCATGGGCGTTACTATTTAATCATTTGAGGACTACCAAGGCCTAGTAGTTTCAATTAAAGCACCTATTTATTTTACTTATTTTTTTTCTTTTTGCAATTAGCTCATTTGTATCTTATATTACAGACAGACTCCACCAACGGGGAGAATCCAAGCATCAAGAAATCCCTCTTTCCTCTTTTTAATTCAAAGAATCATTTAAAGCATAGTTCTTCTTTGAAAAAGCTTCCTGTAGTCACTCCACCCATGGTACCCGTTTTTACGTATCGTAGCCCTGAAACTCCTCCAGTAAACTTGTTTTACTGATGACAACAGCATGTCTTCTTTTCATGGGGTCATATTCTCTTTGTGCTAGTTAAGTGCCTGAGCCAGTTCCATAAATTCACTGGGATATATGGATGTATATAATACATATATTTTATATATAATATATATTATATATTATATATATATATATATCTAGTCTGGGTTTTCTGCATCAGTTAAAGATGTTTAAGCATTAAGCCTACTAAACAAACTAGTAAGGCTGGTTTGGATGGACTGATTAGCCAACTGTTGGCAGACAGCATTCATGAAGTCCTTTAATTCCTGTACAGAATCTGATTAACATTTACAGTCAACAAATGTCTTTGCCCATGACTCACCACATGGACTTTGTTACCATTTGGTTGGTAGTTTGTCTCTTTGAAACCAAGTTTGAACTGACCAAATTGATTGAGCCATCAGGCTCCGGGAAAAAAGCAGCTTGTACTAGTTGATAGCTTGCTCTTTCCTTACCTGCCTCCAGCTTTTGCTGGTCACTAGGTGTAAAGCCATGGCTTTTGCTTGGCATTTGGCACAGCTCTCCTTCGTCCATCAAAGTCATTGAATAGAACAATTGCATTCATTTGAAATTTGTGGCATAAATTTCTAGCAGTTCCTAAGTGTGTAATGCCAGACCCAGATTTACTGGGCAGTTTGGGACTATGATTCAAACCATACCTCCCCACTTCTCTCTCCTTGAAAGCCCCCCTCGACTTCTTTGGCAACATCAAATACAGAGTTTGCATCATATTCCCAGCATGAAATTTTTTTATTGAACTGGTTCATAACCTAACTGTCATATGGGTTGAGGATACAACAGCAGTTCCGGGTCCAGTCCACTTTAACTGCTCTTTCTTCCAGCTCCTGAAACTAACAGCATGGGAATGCTTTAAGGGTTAAGGTTTTAACCAGGCTGCATGACATCTGCCAATTTTTCCTCATGCAGGGAAAATTATTAAGAAGGCAGCAGGATTTAACTAGCACCACTTGCATCATGAACATTTGGAGAGTTTTGGTTTACTTACTGGGTCCTTTTGGTTTTTTCGCCCTCTTTTGAATTTTGGTTTAGTTTAATTTACTTTTCAGTTTGGGCCACCTCTTGGGTGTGGTTGTATATCTTAATCAGGGTTATTGGGATGCTTGTTGAATCTTTCTCCATCTTTCCCTCTAGGTACCCAACACTGATGGTCCCGATCTTCTGACCCTGCAGAAAGCCATTCATTCTTCTAGCACTGCAAGCAGCAGACCAAAGGAGTGGCGGCCAGAGAAGCTCGCAGATCTACAGACCCCGGTGAGTCAGGCTCACCAATATTCAGGCTACAGTGTGTCCTGGGATGGAAGAGCAATGAAGAAAAATTTTGAGCCTCCCCAAAATAGACCCTAACGAGTAGCCTTAATGGTTTTTGGAAGTCAGGATGAATCCTGTCCGTGATTCTTTCCCTATTGGAACAGATCTAGCCCCCACTGTCTTTCATCTAGCATGGAAGGCGGTGGGGCAATGTGGAGAGTTAAAGAAGAAATAGTTCTTGCCCACAAATAGGCCACATCTCAGGAGATAAAGATTCATAAAGATCTTAGTAAAAAGTACGGGATGCCCCGAAATATTGAAGATAAACTGAGGTCGTGAGAGGATTAAGGTTACCTTAAAGATGCTAGCATGTAAATTGGGCCATGAAAACCAGGCCATAGAAGCTTTCTTAAAAGAACATTTTAACTTCTGAAATCCAAACTGGTTTTTATAAAGAGTCAAATACTTATATTAGGAATTACATATTATACAGTAACGTGGGCTTATAGTTCCTTGCCATAATGGAGAACTTGAATTTTTTTTTTGGGGGGGGGGGGCAGGTACCATCTGTTTTAAACAGTTACGCTAATTGGAAATGTTTCAGTATTGGATCTCTTCAATTCACTATAATAGACATAGTGACCAGGTCTAGCATGTTTAGTTAACCAAATTGTTTGGGATTTAGAAGCAATGGCTCTTTTTATAGGCTTTGTGTTTTATTCTTTTGTTCTTAAGAAAACATTTTATCAGTTAAATGCAATTTGGCCTGCATTTTGCTGTGTCACCCAAACAGTCCTGGAACTAACAAAACCTCCTGGCTTTATGTCTTACCTACAAGATTATAGAACTGACTTGTTTCACTATAATCTGTTACTTGGAGAGCTATAAACAAGAGTTCTCCAAAACTGCCATTCTCTTTGCCTGACCATATATATTCTGTACCTAGAGCATAATTTATTCTGGGAGGTAAGGGAGCATAGAGAATCAAATATCCTAATTTTTTTGATTATTCAAACTAGGAACACAAAGATCTGAGGGCGTGATGCTAAGGAGCCCTTTTCTGGTAACTTCACATCTCCAGCTGATTCTGAATTATTATGATTGCTTGCTAATTTTATAAAATTCACTAGGAAAGACTCGTTTCATCATTTTAATGAAAAAGAAAAAGTAGTCAGATTGGTGCCACCCAGTAGTCTCATCACTTGGGAGATGGAAACAGGAGTGTGAACAGTTTGAGAGTATCCTGGCTATGTACTGTAGTATGATGTTTTACTCTTTTGGCTTTTTAGAGGACCCACCACCCAGCTCCCAAATCAACCACACACAGAGGCTTATTCTACTTTATGAATGCCTGGCCTTAGCTTGCCTTGTTTCTTGCCAGCTTTTCTTTAACTTATATTATCCCGCCTAGCTTTGGCTTCAGAGCTTTGATCTTTCTCTGTTCCTGTCTACCTTTTCCTTCCCTCTTACTCCTTGTCTGGCTGTGTAGCTGGGTGGCTCGGTGACCGACTGACCCCTGAAGTGCTCCTCCTTCTCTCTCGTTCCCTGATCTCTTTTCTCCAGATCTCTCCTCATATTTATCCTCTCCGCCTGCCAGCCCCACCTGTTTCTCTCTCCTGCCTCACTATTGGCCGTTCAGCTCTTTATTCAGCCATCAGGTGTTTTAGACAGGCACAGTAACTTCACAGAGTTAAACAAATACAACATAAACAAAAGTAACACAGCTTAAAATAACATTTCCCAACAATGTACAGAGATCCAGGCCAGCCTGGGCTACATAAAGGCAAGGAGCAGAGAGAATCAAGAGTTGGAGTCCAAGACCTGGCCTTCTGCTTTCACACCAGTCTCCCTCCACAGCGCTGTACCCTGTGGAGCCTCTGGCCAGCAGCCCTTCTGCAGGCAGGAAGTTCATTAAGCAGTCCTTCTGTGAGCAGCTGAGATAAATGCTTTGTAATTTTAGTGCCCAAACTGTACCCATTCCCACCTCAAAGACATGTAAATGAAAAAGTAAAAGTACGGCATAGAACATGAAGATTTAGTATCAAAAGAGAGGTAACATTAAACAAATAAGTGCTATACAGTTTTTACCTTGCTTCATTGCTACCTAAAACACTACATTTTCCCAGCTTCTCTTGCAGCTAAATATGGTTACATGCCCAAGTTCTATTGAGTTGTAGTAATTACTTTTCCCATTGCTGTGACAAAATATCTTCCCAGGTTGAAGGTACAGTCCATCACAGTGGGGAAGGCACGGCAGCAGGTCACATTATATCCACAGTCAGGAAAAAGTCCTCAATACCAGTGTATTCTTTCTCCTTTTATTCACTCAAGGACACCAGTCGGTGGGATAGTGCTACCCACATTCAGGGTGGACCTTCCCACTTCAATTCAATCTCTTTGGAAACAGCCTCACAAACACACCCAGAGGTGGATTTCCACAGGGATTCTAAATCCATTTAGTTGACAATTAAGATTAATCCTAAAACTGGTGAGATACAAATGGAAGACTTGTTTGGGAAGTCTTCTGAAAAAGGAGAGAGGCATGCCTATATCTCTTGTTACTTCTTCTATCTAGGTAAAGACAGGATGTAGTCAGATCAAAGGAGCCCCAACATTCAGGTGCTACCTTTGAGTAGCTCTCGTTATTTTCTCTAGATTTCTAGGCCTTCGTTTAAAAGGCAGTGACTAAAATTTTGTTTCAGGAAACCCAGAGACCAGATAAAGCTGAACTCACCCCTCCAGCCATATCTTCTCCCTTCCTTGCTGTTTAGTTATCTTGCACCTGAACTCCGTGTCCTCCCAGCTCCCTTGTCTACTCCAAATTAAATCTTGTGCACACCTTAATCTTTCTTTCAGAGCCAACCACTCAAATCCCTTCGCAAGCTGTTGCATCTCTCGTCATCGACCAATCACCCGGCTTCTTCAGATCCTCGTTTCCAGCCCTTAACAGCTCAACAAACCAAAAATTCCTTCTCAGAAATTCGGATTCACCCCCTGAGCCAGGCCTCTGGTGGGAGCAGCAACATCCGGCAGGAGCCTACACCAAAGGGCAGGCCAGCCCTTCAGCTGCCAGGTCAGATGGATCCTGGATGGCACGTGTCCTCTGTGACCAGGAGTGCCACAGAGGGACCTTCCTATTCTGAACAGCTGGGTGCCAAGAGTGGGCCAAACGGGCACCCTTATAACAGAACAAATCGCTCACGAATGCCAAATTTGAATGATTTAAAAGAGACAGCCTTGTAATTTATGCTGGGATGGGGGGGTGGGGGGGGAGACAAGTCAGTTGGGAGGGGAGGGTTCAGGGTGGGCTGGGAAACAGGCTGGGCCAGGGTAGTAAGCCAGTATTTTCAGCTTTATGAAGGTGTGTGCAATATTGTGTCTGAGGGGGGCCATCTGGCTCCTCACAGGCACAAATGCTAGTCAGGGATCTTAGAGCCACAGGAATTCCTTAGGGATCACCACTCCCCACAGGTCTTGTGTGAGAATGGATAGAGTGTGCCATTGAGGAAGAAGAAATTCTTGCCAGTGTCTCCCCGTTACATTCCAGCTTTAGTGCAATCTCTGTTGAACTTGGGGAAGCCAGGGTATGTCCTGGCTGTGTGAGGGATAGAAAATTCATGTTGACCGATGCCCTTACCACATGTTTTTTTCTGACTAGACTAAATGTGGGGTTTATTGTAATCTAGGAGTATCCCTTTGAAGGGTTAGCAGATGAACTGTATGTCTTAAATTGTTTTCTAAGCTTCCATATTTGATAGGATTTGTAACATTTATTTATAATTAATATTGTACTGTTATAATCATACCTTTTATGTTATAATGTAAAGTTATTTTGAGCTGTTTGGAACATTGTGAAGCAGTGGGACAGCTACAGTAGTTTCTATAAAAACTAAACAGTAACATTTATATATTGCATCAGGAGTATTTTATTCTATATATAAATATATATATGGTAAATAACTGTCTGTTTTATAAATATATTCATTTAAAGAAAGTATCATTATGACACTATCTGCCATATTTTTATACATTTGTGATATGAAGTGAGTATTATACTTATAATAAAGGGAGTTGAATTGTGGCTACATGTGACTGTAACAGAATGAGCTTTGCTCAACTTTTTGGCCCCAGCAGTAGCCTCTAGACATGATCCTTGGTAGCAGACGAATGCAGCGTCTCTCTCTAGGCCCACAGGAGAAGAACGTTGGATAAGCCAGTAAGGATCCCAGCAGGCTTCACTTCTGTGCTTAGACACGTGACTCTCATTTGTGTCCAGGGACATTAACTTGCACACGAGAGGCTAGGCAGAAGTGGTGCTCATGGGTCTTTGCAGAGAATGCGCTCTTCCACTTAGCATTAGCGGTAGAGTGTAGACCAAAGATTTGCCGGTGAACATTCCTTGTTGTGAGGTTGTAAGAGGCACCTGTCTGCGGATCGGATCTTGCAAAGCAGCTCTATGCTCCTGAATGCTGTCCGCCCTCCTGGAGATTGTTGCCTCCAGGTGGGGTATGAGCTACATGTACGGCATTTCTTCTTCTAAATGCTTTGTTGTTGTTGTTGTTGTTGCTCTTCTAATGTATTTAAAAGGCTCCTGAAGCAATTCCAGATGTAGAGAAAATTACTACATTCTTTTTTTCCTTCCTGGGACTGTCCGTTTATAATAAGGTCATCATGTACACCTGTATATACATACACCCCATCCATCAGAACAGGACCTATCCTTCCCTCGTTTGATCTCTTTCAACTCGCAAGTTAGTATCGAGTATCATCAAGGCCTGTGGCCAGCATTATACCCACCTGTCTCTGGACCGTCTTTGACAAAAATCAACACCTCAACACCATCATCTATCGATAGTCATAGTGTTTTGAAAGTAGTCTCTTAGCAATAAGACTTTTAGAGATCACTCCCATCCCTCAAAGAGGGAACTTTTCAGTATTTACTACTTGTTCCAGAATTCTGAGAGTGTCAGTCCCCAAATAAAGTCAGCTGTCACTGAAATATGCTGAGTTACTGTTAACCCTTCCCTGAGATTTTGAGAATCATAGCACTGATGATTATGAAGATTATAAAAGTCTTAGATTCTTTGAAGCTTAAATTGTGTGCATATTTCATATTTATATAAATACTATAATGATGTGTATTGATTATATATAGAGGTCATTTTAAGGTGCTTCTACTTAATTTTGATAAGTATATTAGGCACTAAAATGAAACTCAACTGGGTACTATCATGGAAACAATTTGATTCATTTTGCATGCTCTTGAGTTCTTTTCCTATCTCGTTTCTGTTGCCAGTTCAGTACTGTCTGGGTAGCTCTGAATTATGGCTTTTCCCAGGCAACTCTTTGGTTATTCAAGTGAGGCAGACCCTCAACAGTTTTTGCCTGGATCTATAGTGACACTAAAAAGGTGTATATTTAACTCTCCTTTTTCATACTAGATCCCTAGTACCTTGTACACCCCCCACTTCCTCCTGCAAAACAGAAACTACATTTTGTTTCCTCTGGAAAGACTTCTCACTGTGCTGTGTGCTTAGGAATTGTGAGGTCCCATTGCCATGCTGTGGCATTAGTGGCTCGTCATCACCAAGGGGCTGGTTTCTCATGTTGTCATCTTTGCTAACACTGGGATCTCAGATGTTTGTAGAACATTTATATTCATGATGGTTCTTCAAAGAAGGGCTAGAATAATTGCCTTCTACCTAGAGCAAACTAATCCTAACTGATGAAGTCAATACTTACTTTTCCTACATTCCCAGATTTGAGCCAGAAAATAGCTACAATGTTTTCAACTAGTGTTTCTGAGCTAGCTCTTTTATCCTCTTCTTAGCTCTTGTCTGTTCTGACTTTTCCTTGACCCTCAATAAGCTGTAAGTGAATCTACAATCCCATTCATTCTCTTCCTGCTCCCAGATGGGGGCGGTAACATTTCCTCGCGGATCTAATAGGCCCTCTCTTAGCTTTTAACTGTCACTTTCCCCTCTGGTAGGTCGTTCATTGACCTAAAAAAGATACCATTTGTGGCAGGAAGGAGTTGACTGAAAGTCACAAAACCCCCACATTTTCTTTAGAAGGGGGGATTGATGACATCCATGTTCTATTATCTGCCCTGACATCCTAAAGGACACAAAGGTGGAACTGGAGGCTTATGAAGTACTTTGTGTTGGGGAATTACTGCTGATCTCCTTTTGAAAAGAACCTTGGCTCCACAGGTTTTCTATTCTCACTTCTCTATCACCCTCTTTTTCTTCTCTGAAGCTCTAAGTAAACTTTAACTGATCTTTGTTTGGTCTTGACCGAAGTTTAGGACTCTCCCGAGACCCAGACCAGAAGGGAGTGCCCCATGCCAAGATGCTCAAGTGAGCTGTCTCTCCAGCAGCACTTCTCAGCCAAGGGCAGTCTTGTCTCCCAGGGCACAATCGACAATGTCTGGAGGCACTTGGTTGTCTTGGGCTGCTACCAACATCTAGTGAGGATGTTGCTAGACATCCTCGAGAGTGTTCCAGCCCATAACTAGTGCCAGCGTTTAGAAGTCCTGCCCGAGACCATTCCAGGCCAACCACTCCGCAGAACTTGCCTCTGGCCCTGGACTTTCCAGGCTACATAACTGCAGGAGTGAATTCCTCAGCATCGTATTCTCTTTAAGAATCCTCCACCACTGTTCTCAAATCCTTGCAATCCTATTGTTTGTTTCCATTGTCTTGGACCTGCTAAAAGGTGCATACTTTGGGAGGAAACCAGAGTTACTTTATATATGTTTGAGAACTTAAATTCTAGGTTAGCAGCCTTAGGAAATCTTTCTTAGCCATGAGGCTTATATTTAGAAGCAAGCAACAGCCTGGCAGATTGGCATGATTTTTACCAACTGCTCAAAGGCATCATGGCTTTCAGCTGTGTCTGCCGAAAGAAAATGTCTTTGTTATTTATTCAAGTCATTTAATAGATCTTTACAAATATTAGCATATGGCAGACTGATTAGAAGCAAAACTCTTTATTGGTGGTTGTGATGTGGCTATTCTAGAAGTATTGTGCTGTATGCTTTGGTTAAATCTGTTTTAAAACATGCTTTAAGACTCACCATATGCAGTTGTATAATTTAATTCTAAGCAGACCTATGCTGGTCAGTCTCTAGTCATGCTGTGTATTATAAAAGTATGTTGTGGTTGTAGACTTAGCCAGTTTAGCATGTTCCTAATCAGAAAATTAGTGGACTCCACTAGGAAATGCTATCCCATTCTCCCTTCCCAGTACCTCTTAGTTGATATCATAGTATCCTCACTTAAACTAGTCTTTAGAGTAAATAAGGAAAAAAGCCATTTATTTTCTTCTAGCCATGTATTGAGAATAACTCATATGTGTTTAATTTTTTCAAAGGCCAGAGGATTACTTTTCCAGTGTGTAGAAGGCTTTGTCCATTCTGTTCACCTAGGTCTTGGTGGTGACAGAACTTTTGGCAAGGACAACAAGTAACTCATTAGAAGTCACTGCTGGGACTCAGCAAAACTGCGTCTCTTTTATGCTTAGAACCTATGTTCTGAGCGCCATTGCTTTTGCATCTAGAAGTTCATTACCTACCGCATTAGAGCGGGCTACTGAACTCCCCTATATGGGTAAGAAGATTCATAGATGCCTGTTTCTGTGAACTGAGGCAGTGGTATGGTTAACTAATCCAAGTCAGAAAGCAGTAGGCTATTTCCTTGCCTTCTTCAGTTCATCACTAATAAAAGTTCATTGAAGTTCATTTATGGTTTGAGAAATAACAGTGCTGATTTCTTTAAAAGGGACTGCAAAAAAGACAGTACAAATGTCGCTAGTCCCTGGGACCAGAGTCTTAGGAGAAGGTCCCTACCAAGTTATAAAAGGGCAGAAGACCAGAAAATAAAAATCAAACAAATGAAAAATCCAAACTTGTAAGTGGTGGTTTCCCCTTTTGCTTCTTGCACAGCTGAAATCTAGACTATCTTGAGGTCTGGTTCAACTGATTAAAAAAAATCTTGGAAACCATGAATGAGGAGCCATGCAAGAAAATGAAGCCCCTATCTGTTTCTATACACCCGAAGGGAAAAGCCAGGT